TGGAAGGCTGGCAATGACGTGCGGCGAGACATTATTCCGAATACATTCTTGTACACGTACTAAATAACGGATAAACGATACTGTTTCTTCGCACCTATAAATAGAACGCTTCTTCTTCTTCTTCTTCTTCTTCTTCGATAGGCTAAAGTTACCTTTAGTTCGCGATCTTCGGATCGATAGGATTGCCAATGATATCTTTTAAGAAACACGTACTCGTGTTTGACATTCTCACTCACCGATTCACCATCCCCCCCTTCCACTCCTTCGTGCCGTATTAATTCCATCCAAGTTCTATGTCTTCGATCTTTATGTTCAGTTCTTCGAACGAAGTATCGATTCCAGGTTCGTCGTCGAATCCACTGTTTAGTTCGATCTTCTGCCAACAATAAACAACGAAACACGGTCACGAACACGAGGGGTCGATCGAACACGCCCGTATTATATATGCGTTATCGTATATCGAGAGAAGAAACAGTAAGTTACAGAGAAAAGAACTTAACGAACCTGTAACGCTGCAATTTGCGAAGGGTCGCCGACCAATAAAATCTGCGTTTCGTTATCGTTTAAATCATCGATCGCTTTAGAAATCTGAATCTGTCCATCTTTTTCTGTGATCTTCGGTTATACAGCACACAACACACGGGAACACGAAACGAGAAGAGAGAAACTTTTTGAAAAACATTTTCCAAGCGTATTCCAATTCGCAAAATGTCTTCTGAGATTTACCTTTAACGATGGACTACTACCATTTTCTCGTATAACGTTCGACCTACTACGCTTATCTTTGCCCCGACTAGAAGATTCTTGAATAGATTCTTGGCAAAGAACGTCGACGCTGCTGCTGTCGTCGTCGTCGTTGTCGTCGTCGTCGTCGTTGTCGTCGTCGTCGTCGTCGTCCTCGTTATCGACTAACGCGTGTGCGGTTCTTTTGTGCATAACAAGGGTACTACTTTGTCTATATCTCCTGAAGCAAACTTTACATTCGAACGGACGTTGTTGCGTGTGAACCTAGGAAATAAAGAAGCGTATCGTGTACATGGTGGTATCAGCGATATTATCCGTTGTCGTTCGTCGCATCGTCGCTCGTACAAAGTTACTACTACTACTACACTACTAACAAGATGATGTTTGTAAAGACTAGAATATTCGGTGAATCGTCTTCCACAATTTTCGATAGAACAGACGTAAGGTTTCTCGCCTGAGTGAATTCGTATATGATTCTTATAATTTGTAGCACTGGCAAAAGCTTTGCCACATTTTGGTTGTGTACATTTGTACGGACGTTCACCGGTGTGCGTTCTCACGTGAACCTATAGGCACATACAGAGAGAGGACACACAATTAGCTCGACCAAATGTCCACGTCGCACCACCACCACCACCACCGTCTGCTCTGTGTATACAGAGAGTTACTGTACAATTTCATATTTTACCCTCTCTCACCTTTCTAATATTACTCGTAGTAAAGGAACGACCACAACCGTCGAACGGACACAAGAACGGCCGTTCTCCGGTATGCGTTCGTACGTGTTTTAGTAAATCTCCGGAAGTCTTGAAACTTTTGTCGCATGTTTCGTTTGGGCATTTGTACGGCTTCTCTCCGGTGTGCGTACGCAGATGCGCTTTTAAACTGTATCCTGTCGAGAAGCTCTTCTTACATTTTGGATGCGTGCATCTGTACGGTCGTTGACCAGTGTGAGATCGTTCGTGAACCTGTTCAACAATACTGCTTTATACCAGATGTGGTTTTATATAATGTTTCGTCGTAATTCTAACTAAAACCTTCGAGAGTCGTACACTACACAGGTTTATCAGCAGCTCGGGCTCTGCCGCCGTTATTGTGAATTCATCTCGACTTGACTTGTAATTTCGAATAACGATTTTTACCTTCAGATGATGGGGTGTACTGTAAACCTTTGTGCAACCCTCCCTTGGGCAAGGATGCCTGATTCTCGATGCCGGCAGTTTGCTTAATAAAATCTTGGAATCCTTCTTCTTCGATTTACCACTCTCAATTTCCCACAACTCTTTGCCGACGTCAAGGTGCCCGGTCACCATATAAGCGTTACCATCGATGAACTCCACGTGCGGATAAGTATTTTCAACGTTTTCTATAGTGGTACCACGAGCTTGAACCAACGTTGCTGGATCTAATTCCACTTGGAGCGGCTTGCCTTCGGTAAATTCCGCGATGTCTCGCAACAATATAGTATCTCCATTTTCCAATTCTAACGTTGTTTGTCCTTTCAAATCCACCTCTGTACGATATGTTAATAATAGTTTACAAATATTATAGAAGAAATGTTACCAATCTTATGAGAGTTATTGAATTATTCTCTGTACATGCAGCGTTAAACCTTGAAATTTATAGATTCTACTATCGATTCTACATCTTGCGTCAATTTAATATACATATTTCTAACCATCGTCGTTGAAATTATTGGCAACAAATGCTTGTGTTCCATCGGGCAATATAGTTGTTCGTCCAACGTTAACTCTTCCGTTTGATCATTTCCAGAACTGTTCTCGTTAATTAGAACTGATAGGCATTCCAATATATCCGTACGATTGTTCTGTAAAATAAAAAGATTAGAAGGAGGGTTTACTTTTTGATATAATATGCTGCTAGATCGGTGGAACACGGGATCTATGGATAATGTCACGAAATGCTCATACCTGTGTCTCGTCTAACATGGTTTCGACATCTCGAGTCACGAAACGATTTGAAAGTTCTGCGCCTTGTGCCGACATATTTCTCTACAAATCCAGAGCTGCGAACAAAGAACGTTTCGCGATGATCGCCGATGATCCACGTCATTATTTTGTGTCTTAGTTTCGTGTCCGCAGGTAAGCATCTGTCTTAGAAGAACAGGGATCGTCGACAATTCGTTTACGATGCATTGAAGATTCGCGCGTGTTGCACCAAGTTATGTTTACCAGCAAATCGATCTTTTGCGCGAATCTTTTACAATACGAGTATTTGACACGGGAATAGCCAAGAGGATCCACCAATTGATCGTATCAACTATCCTTTCAACGATCTTATAACGTAGAATACGTATGTAGCATACATACTATGATACTCTTTCAATGGCCGGTAATTGCGATGCACTACTGTCAACAGCTACGTCTAGAACCGGTGCGTCGTCGACTATTGCACTGGCAACTATAAAGACGGTTATAACGAATGACGGAATAGCCACGATCGTCGTGCTCGTGGTGATATGAAACAACTATGCACAAGAAACACGCCATTTTCCTCGTTCACTTGGAACAACCTCACAGCAGACTACGAGTGAAAATTTGAATCGCACATGATAATACGCATAAGGTGAGGTAGAGTCGTCGAATAAAATTCGAATGTCTTTTGTTTCTCTCTCCGCTTTTCTTTATCTTTCTTCCTCCTATGGCGGAATTCAATTTTCGGTGTTTCGCGCAGCCTCGCAATTCACTACCGAAGAATCTTGGGAAATATTACCCATAAACTCAGACACCCGCGAAACACCTCTTGACAGACAACAGATTCTAATAACGCGAAAGCTAAATTACAACAGAGTGTAAAAAGGATGTTTAACAATTTTACGCACCGTTAAATAATCAATTTCGATGGTCTTTAAACTTTTCCTGCAAATACTGCATTATGAAATGAAAGAGAATGAGATCGATAACCTTCTCCGAAACATCACGTTGTACAATCACACGGCCTTAATACAGTTGCATATTTTGAGCGTGGTTCCTCGGTTCTTCTATGTACTTTCGGTTGATCTTCGCAGTCTCGATATCTTCCGACTGCATACTCTTTTTCGGAACATATCGTTCTGCAAAACACATAGTCGGTGTACTACGTCCCTTTGACTACGCGACGACTCGTTTTCGAACGGACTTTCACATTTACCGGATCTCGTTTCCGATTGGTCAAGTTTAACGTAACTACGCTTTCGTCTAAAATGCGAATAGATATTTAAATGCTACTTGTTCTTCGTTTGTTTTCTTTAAATATTTGCTAAATTTACGAATACAATCGTTCAACGTATGTTCAAATAATACTCTATCTAAATAAAAGAATGCATACAGGTGTACAACGCGTCGCGAATACATACGTAGGAGTATGTAGTAGATATAGGTGGAGAACGTTACGTGGTGGAATGGTGTCGTTCGTTGATCTGAAGCACGGTGTGTTTAACTATACTAGAATTTTATCTATATTGCGTTAGCCTGTATTATTAATCATAAACAGGTTAAAGTGGACCGAAACTGAAGATCGTCGTTAAATTCCGTTCGTTCTTTTCTAAAACAATTGTTCGAATGGTTATCGATAAGATGGTAATTTGATTTTGTTCGTTTATATTGAAAAATGGAACACAGTTTTATCGAGGAGTGTCGTCGACGGGGGATAGTAAAATAACAAATACGTGGAAATTGGTTCGGATGTGTCTCGGGTGACCGTAGAGATTATTCCCTGAAATATCGTACGATATTTCGTTACGTGCAAAATTACAGGACGGTGACAGAGTCGATAGAGTAATTCGTTGACGTACGTCGATGTACCATAATTAGACTATACACATGTACACACATGTTCGACGAACGTATAATCGACAAGACTCGTACACAGGCTCGATTGTTGTTAATAATCGCGACGGTGTGGTTTTGGTTAATTCAACGTGCCATGTATTTATCGAGTGTACCGATAACTGAATTTCAGTAAACGGGTAATTAATCCCTTGATCTTTTCTTCTTTTTCCTTACGATTGCTATTGTTGTCGAAGGAAATTTTGCTTTTAAATTCTACTGCAATTAAATGCGTAATTGGCATTTTGATGACTTCAGGCCTAGGATGCACCAGGACCAACCGATAGATGTTTCATTTTGGATAACAAGGCCGTTTTTCAGATCTAAAGATAAAATTGATCTTGGCAGAACGCTTAAGATGTTTGCCTCGAAGGCTCGAACGTCGAATAGCACCTTTTATATGGAATTGGAAACTGACGAAGTAACAGATGACAAAGAATCAGATTTAAACGAGTCGAAGGAATATCGTGACAAAGATTTCATGGATATTCCTTCTAGCCGTTCTGACGCAACGGTAGAAGATGAAAAGGTGGGAGATTACGATGGACACTCGTTTAGCAAAATTCCTTCTTTCGGCGGTTTCTCACGATTTCGTCCATTTGTGGTGTCAGCTGCAAGTTGTTCCACGGAACATGTTAATACGGAGGAGGGAAACGAGGAGGATGTTCCGTTCGTTCGAGTATCGCACAGTGTGTTGGAATATAGGAGCAGTAGGTATGTTTTGGCATACTTTTCTCAGAACAATGACTGTAATTTAATGCGCCGAGGCGTCGTTCGTTCTTCCATTAACGTGATAATGTACAGGTATTTAGCAACGGATAGGAATTCTCGTCGGTATGCGGTGGAGTCGTACACCATTAGTGAATCGGAGAGCGAAGAAGAATCGGAGGGTGTGAAATCTTCGGAAACGGATTCCGCGATAGTTGTGGATCCTACTGATTCGTACGATTCGACTCTGGAATTAAGATCGGCCGGTAGGACAGACCGTTCAGATTCGAGGAGGAAAAAGGCACGTCGAGTTGCCGAAGAATTGTTGGCTACCGAAAAGAATTACGTGAACGTTTTGCGATTGATCGACCAAGTGTTCCAGTTCAAAGTCGATCAAGAGAATAGAGCGCATCCTATGTTCCC